GGGAAGCAGAAAAGGCCAATAGAAGACCAAGTGTTACATAGTGATGTCCCTCCTATGCTCTGTAGGGAACTTTGGGATTTAGCAAACCATTAACCATTTATTTTATTCTATTTTTTTTTGTTTGGGTCTGAGAGTGTCTTTATTGATTGATAACCATTTTAAATGGGGGAGACTGAAGGAAGGACATGGCCTGACAGTTCTGCAATCCAGATACCAACCTGCGTACTAGGCAGCATAGTCCACCCATGGGCTGCCAACTCTATACAATCTATAAAACGGTAATTTTGTAAAAATGTTTGACAATGTATAGACTAGACAAGAAATGAATTAATGTAAAAACACATCACCTTTTACAAGGTTTGATACTATTACCTGAGGGGAGACACCTGAGGGTAACAGAGGTGAACAATGTGCACAGATGTGCTTTGTCACAAGCAGAGCTGAGGTTTGTAGCAATGAAGTTGACGTGAATTAACTCAATTATTGTTTAAAATGATTGTGTTGCTAGGCCTTTACATTTGGATACGTGACATTTACCTCTGGTACTTTAACGGCTGCTTTTCCTTTTGAAAAGCTTCACAAGCTCTGCTCTTTTACACTCACATCCACACGCAACATCCAGGCATGATCTCAGTTCTGATCAATCACTCACCTGCCCTGTTGATCTCGATGATCTCCTCCTGTGCCAATGGGCAGTCTCCAGTTCCCATCATGCTGCCGGATCCCACCATGCCCGGCCCGATCACATTTCCCATCAGCCTGTGCGGCGAGGCGGTTGCCATTGCAAGGGCATCTGGCTTGCAGTAGTTGGGGCTGCCGGGCTGGGGCGCTCGAGGGATGTGTTTGTTCCTCTTCTTGGGGAGCTTCTGCTTGGCCATGGCCAGGGAGTAGTACATGCCGAAGTTGTTGACGATGACAGGCACAGGCATGGCGATGGTCAGCACACCGGCCAAGGCGCAGAGGGCCCCCACCAGCATTCCAGACCAGGTCTCAGGGTACATGTCCCCGTAGCCCAGCGTGGTCATGGTCACCACAGCCCACCAGAACCCGATGGGGATGTTCTTGAAGGCAGTGTGGGCCGCTGCCGTCGGATCGGCTGGATCGGCGCCAATTCTTTCAGCATAGTAGATCATGGTTGCAAAGATGAGGACGCCCAGCGCCAGGAAGATAATTAGCAGCAGGAACTCGTTGGTGCTCGCCCGCAGAGTGTGGCCCAGAACCCGCAAACCAACAAAGTGGCGGGTCAGCTTGAAGATACGCAGGATACGGACAAAGCGCACCACGCGCAGGAAGCTCAGCACGTCTTTGGCTGTTTTGGAAGAGAGGCCGCTCAGCGCCACCTCCAGGTAGAAGGGCACGATGGCCACAAAGTCAATGATGTTAAGGGCGCTGCGGAAGAACTCCGCCTTGTCGGGGCAGAAGACGACTCGCGCCATTACCTCAAGGGTGAACCACATGACGCAGATGCCCTCCACGTATGTCAGCCAGCCATCTGTAACGACCTCATACACTATCTGCCGGGTAGAAGAGAAGACAAAGGATCAGATCATTTTATAATGTGTTTACTCATTAAAAGGTATGCATAATCCTAACTATCTAACACAACAGAAGCCTCTGAATGAATCAGACAGCAACAATTACAATTATTGTCCCTATTCAAACTCTGGCCACAAAATCTTTACGAAATAATGTCAAAAAATACTTTAATTTCATTTCATGGTATGATAACTTCAGTACTGGGTTCATTAAAGAGACCCATCATGTTATTCTGTAGGCTACTGCACACTTGGTTAACTACAACACCAAACTCACCTTCCTCATCACCTGAGTACCTTCTAATAACCAAGTTATGTCTCATTGGGGCGATATACTAATAACAACTTGCAAACTGACAGAATGTCAGTTATGAGCAGACAGCTCAAGAAAACAACCGAGTCGCACTGCAATGTGAGCTGCTACATATGTTACTACTTTTAGAAGGCTGTTTTGTTTCCATGGATATGTCTTTATTTGATTTTTCTTTATTGTTTGCCTCTCTACCTTATATGTTACTCATCTAATTTTGTTTTGGCCTTTGTCTGCATTGTCCCTTCGCTGTAACATTGTACATGTCCCTGCTGTGGGACAAATGAAGGACTTCTGATTGGAGATGATACATTTAGGTTTGTGTGCTTCAACCTTGAAATGTAGGATTCTTTGGGACCAGAATGTGGCCTCTTCTTCATTTTTTTTATCATTCAATTCGTATTCTGAGTCTCATGATTCTAACCGCTTTAGAACTGCAGATCTAGAACACTGCAGTGTCCCTTTTATGGTCGCTTTAATATATCTAATACTGAAAAAGGGATTCACTAAAACCTCTGCGTACCTCCTCTGTTGTCACGTTGCCAACTGTGACGTTCTCTGTTTTGTTGTAGATGGTGTTGAAGACTTCGTGGGTCTCCAGGCAGAAGGTGGAGATGGAGAGGAGGATGAAGAAGAGCGAGCCAAACGCCACATACTGCAGAGGGAAGAAAAAGAGGGGGGGAGGGGGGAATTTTTGAATTTGCACATCATAAATCACCTCCTTTTATTCAGGCTTAACCAACAGGACACTGCCATCTGCATTCAGACCTTTTTCCAACCAGTTTTAGCCTTTGTCATTAGAACTGTGGTGTTCCTGTGATTGCTGGTGCTTGGGGGGAGGGGGTTTGGGCCATTGCAGTATGTGGGACGCAGTTGCTATGCCTACAGGCTGCAGATAGGGGGCTCCAATAACACGCTGAGGAGAGTGAAGGAATGCTGCTAATTCAGTGCAAATGTCCTGACTGCTGCAATCCCATTGATAACAGCCCAGTCAGAGGGGGAGGCATGGGGGAGGGAGGTAAGGATGATGAATGGAGAGTGTAAAAGTAATGAGGTACACCGAGTATACGTGTGTGTGTGCGTGTGTGTGTGTGTGTGTGTGTGTGTCTGTGCGTGTGTGTAGGTTTGAAAGAGACAGTAAAACAAAAATAGAATGTAAAGAGAAAATGAGTGTATACATAAACAGGAGGAATACGGAGACGTATGCATTATGAGAAATGTCTATCACAATGTGGGTTTCTCTCCGCACATAATCAATGATCCTTTATTTGCCGATACATACACACACACGCACACACACTCCATCAACCTTGCATCTTGACAACTTCTTCATATATTTTATGTAGTGTATTATCAGTTATTTTCAGTACTGTGCACACGCTGGGTAATGAGATTTCCGTTTCTCTGCAGCTTCCCCCTGCCCCCCTACTGTTGGTTGCCCTCTCTCTGTTTCTCCCCCCACCTTCCTACAGTATGCCTCTCTTCCCCCTGCTCTATGCAGTGGATGTGTCGGGTCCTCTCTCTGTATGCGGAGTACCAGTCGTCTTTCTAAAAGCTGGGATGGATGTCAATGTTAACTCACATATAAAGGCTCTTTTTCTTAACCTTCATTTGAACCTTTTCTGTTCCTAATGCCTGTTATAGCTGATGTCCTGCCTCACAGATGCCTGCAGATGCTTAAGCTGCCCAGATACTGACCACATCAATGTTTCACGGTCATTACATATTCAGCTTCTTCTGGAAAGCAGAGTTGCATATTCATAAAAAATGCAGTAGATCAAAGTCCTGACATATTGTGTCCTCATAAAGTTGAAATGTCTGTCAGGTCCTAGTGAGATTCCAGCCAACACAGGGCAACTTTAGCATTCATATGGAGTGTGTGTCCATCTTATAAGAACCATTCCAATAATCCCTTCCCTCCTGGCACTGTTTCTGATCTTACAAACAAAAATACCGTTTTTTGAATGTAATGTTCAAAAGCTAACCTCTAACTGTGTGACTGCTGTTTGACACACACAGTAAATGTGAGACAAAAAAAGCTAGCTAAATGAACTAGCTGGAAGACCCTCTTCAGAGTCGAGGGGAGATGCAATAGATAATTTATAATGTCCTGACTTGACTTACTTTACACACTTATTTTTTCATAATAAAATATTGATTTATTAAGTGCAGCTTTAACTGTAAAAGGTATTATATTTGGAGGCAATGGCATTAAAGATACTGTAATATAGGCACTCATACTGTCATACAAATTTAAACATCTAATGAAGCTGCTTTTTATTTGGTTAATGCTATAACAGGTATGCAGCTCCAAATGTGAAATGTCAATCTTTAGCTAGTTCCTTTTGTTTGTCTTCATTAGACAAAAGTGCAGCTGTACGATTCTGTGAGATATTAGTTGAAGGAAAGACAAACAACTGAAACCCAAACAGGCCCAACTGCTGGTTCTCATTAGGAGAGGCAGGTCACCCTAACCCTAACCCTGACCCTAACCATGCTGTACTAGCCAATGTGATCTCCATTAACAACAAAGTGTACCACAAACACCTTTTAAGGGCTACAAAGCACGACATGACGGAGGCTGTGTTTTTGTCTTTTCAGAAACATGGCCTGATGACTACAACCTGGACTCTGATTACAGCGTGTGATGCTGCATCCCTGTATCCTCCAAACATTGTTCTTCCTTCGGAGGGAATTTAGCTATTCTGCCGGTAGCTGTACATACCTCCAATTCCCAATAACAGCAAAAGTCGAGGCACTCAGTGAACTGTACTACAGCTTCAGTGAACATCAGACAGCCAGACGGATATCTTCCCCTGCTGGGGATTTTAACCATAATGACCTGGAGTCAGTGTTACAAAACAAATAAATAACACACTGGATCTTGTTAACCCAAACAAAAAGAAGAATTCAAGACTGCCACCTTCTTCTGACGTTTATATACTAAACCAGCATGAGACCTTGCGTGAAGAACACGGGACCGGTATAGAAACAAAACATTTTAAATATTGACAATGTTTACACCTGCCCTTCTCTGACTTAACTTGTTTTCCAAGTTTAAAAGTCAAATTATATTTGACTATTTTTGATTCCACCCAAATAACTCAACCATAAGTCGTACTACTCTATACTGTAAGCAACATAGATTGTAGGGGGGATTGTTGACTGATCTGGATGAATACAGTTGTGTGTTGTCTGTTGGGAAATGTCACAGCATGTTGTTAAATCATTTGGCCAACTGGGAACATGTACCGTGAGAATTGACCCGATTAATTGGACATTTTGTCATAGCAGGAAAAGCGTGGATGTCACTAATAACATTAGTGATGGCTCAGTTTCTTCCGTGCTATCATTAACTAGCCGTAGTCCAGCAACCACGATTTAAAACCAGTCAGGTATATGCACGTGTGTGTGTGTGTGTGTGTGTGTGTGTGTGTGTGTGTGTGTGTGTGTGTGTGTGTGTGTGTGTGTGTGTGTGTGTGTGTGTGTGTGTGTGTGTGTGTGTGTGTGTGTTTCAGGTCAGAAATGAAGACAGACTGATGAAGTCTCCCTCTAATCCTCAGTGAAGACATCAAGTCCCACAGCTTATTATCATGGTCTAATTTAACACTGCTATCTAGAGCTGCCCTGGATACACAAAAAAACACACACACACATTCATTTTCCAGCATTTTGGAGGGTTATTATAATGGAAGGATACAGATAATAAACATCCCCTTGTTTAATTTCAATGTTTTTACTACTCTTCCTTTGACTGGATTCTGTAAAGAAATGTAAGATCTCATTCCCTTTTTAGTCTCTAAAAGTAACATTACATTTACGTACATGTGAAATACAATTAAATGTTGGTAATATTTGAGATTTTTGATTCAAGGTTCATGTTTTTTGTGGTTAGTTTTGTTCTCAATTTGCAATTATGCAAGCACATTATAGAACTATACACGATATACATAGCGGTGGCAGCGCATGTTAATGCAACGACCAGAAGCTCCCATGAATGTCGTACATTTTTGTATAAACCATTTTCTTTTCTTCCCTCTTTGTCTTTCTTTACTGGAGCAACTGTGTTGGAGAAGGTACCGTGGTGACTGGATTAAGAGCAGCTGACTTTGAGAGGATCACGCTCATCTTCCAACCAACCAGCCAGTGAAACAAACCTTTGGGCCAAACACCACGGAACACCCCAGGTAGTGAGGGAAGAGAGCTCAGAGGGGAGCGAAGCTACCAAATTAAGACCTTTAAGGCTGTTCCACTACCCCTCCTAGTGGAGGTCCGGTCCCAGGAAAATAAGACTCAGGCATCTCGGATCAAGTTGCCCTTGATGAGCCAGCTGCAGGACTTGGTGCATACCTCAAATGTCAAAGTTGAGGGACAATGTTTCTCTGATGTATTCATGTTAAAGATACCTGCTGCTACTGTTTGTGTAATGTTCTGTTGGACATAATGGACTAATCTACAACGACATTTTGTTGTGCAACCCTGTGTTGCCCTTGTTATCCTTCAATCTTTGAATATCTGCATCCTGTCATTATCACCTGTGTCAATGTACTTGACATTGATTGGTTGGTATGTGGGCTCTCATGTACAGTACACACATATATAGTCGGAAATGTATTATTAAAAGACAAACTTAAAGCTAGTTTTAAATGTACTACCACCCGACCTTCTGTTAATGTCTCTTCTGCTGCGTCCTGCCTCTAATCTTCTAATCTCAGCGCATCCACCTGTCTTTCTTTATAACACACTAGGTACGCATTAGCTCTGCTGCTCTTGTGACATAATATTATGTTAAAGCACCTTCCTGTGAATGTTTTGAAGTCAGAACAATCCTAAAAATGCTTTCACACTAGATAGAAAACTGACCCTGGTGGAATTACATGGACCAGATCTGAGCAATCCGATTTGAATGTTTTCTTTCAACGTACAACATACAGGTGTTTAACGGACATGCGACAGAGAAGTTTGTATTGGTCTTGTCAGGTGACAGTCTGCATGTGGGATCTGTCAGTGGGACACACCCCCTACCAGCCAAACTCTGCACAAATGTAGACCAATAATTATATGTTACAACCAAAGTAACAAACGTGTGTATCTAAAGTTATATTCCTGTGGAACCAAACAACATTTTAGATTCTTATGGTCGGCATTTTGTCAACAATGGTCATTCAATATATTTGTAATGTATATATTTAGTAATTACATCTTCTCCTGGACTGCATTCACACATGAAGGATTGAAAGGAAAATATAATCCAGTTTTACTGTTTGTAATGTTATTTAATTGATATTAGGCTCACAGTTTAGTGCACAGCCAAATCATAACCTAACTAACTACTACCGCTGCTGCCTCGTATAGATTTGTATTGTGATGCAATCACAGGAACATTTGTCGCCATGGTTGACAACAATGGTTTGTAATCATTTAACACATGTTTTCTCAGTGGATCAGTGTGAAATATGTCAGGACAGAATGAAGAGCAAACACAGTGAGATGTAAGGTGACTGCACACTGTAGCAAGCTAACCAACTGTGTCCTGCTGCCTTTCTCCACCCTGTCTGGAGCGTACACTCAGATTGAGTCTGCTATAGAGTGGTGCAGGAATGCAGTATTTTGAAGGCCGACACGGAAGTTAGCATCGCTAAGAGCTCCCTCGCC